TGCAGGACCTTGTCCTTGGCCTTGTTGAACTTCGGGAGATTAGCACAGACCCACCTCTTGAGCCTGTCCAGGTCCCTCTGGATGGCAGAAGGTCGATGAAGAATTGTTGATTTCATGTCTAAGCTACAGCTTATAACTGTTGTCTCTGTAACTGGAGCAGGGCCCTTGGTGTCTGATTTCTCTTTCAGGGCAGTAGTGTTCCCTATTGGAATGTAGCACATCATTAACTCAAATCTGTTCATGGTGTATCTGTGTGAATGATGAGATCAGAGGATCAAGAGCATAACCCTATATCTAAGTCTGAGTTGGTTTGGTCATTTCTTTGTGCAAACCAGGATATTTTAAAATAGGTAACTTCCAGTATTAAAATGTTTGAATGGGTAATGATAAATCAGCTTAAAAAAGGAAGGAGAGGGTCTTTTTATCCATCTGATTTGGAGGCAATTGGTGAGTTTAAACGTCACATTAATTGTTTTGCTTCTAATTATTGCCTCTGCTCTGATGCACGTATTGTGTCCTTTCTGAAGACAACTATTATCTGTATGTTGGGTTGGAAGAGAGGAGCTCAAGGATCTGATGCACGTCCTGGAGAGTACAAGTACCAAACGTGCTCACACATTCTGGTGTTGGGGCTGCTTCATGGGAAATAGTTCCTGTGAATAGTCTAATTATCCCAGACGTGGGCATATGAAAGGGTCGCAGCAAGAAAAGCCTTAGCATAATTTATGTTCATTCATTTATGTTTATTTCTGTAGTGAAAGCATGTGTGCTTATGGTTGGTGATCACCAAATTCACAGCCTGGCCTTCACTGAAGTAACTTGTTTGAGGATTTGGGCCTAGAAGCACCTACTGACTTCAACCTGAAGTGTCTTCTCTTGTTTCCATTCAGGGCTGCTGAGAGGGGTAACTTTGAAGCTGCTGTGAAGCTGGGGATAGCGTACCTGTACAATGAAGGCTGTAAGTGTGGAAGCTTGTACCTGGGTCCTTGGGGAAGATGGCATGACAGAAGGAAATGCAGATGAGCTACAGATCAGGCTAACTGTCTCATCATAAAGTTGACGTTTTTACTGGCTACCTGCAGAGATATTTCTCTTGTATCTCGAACGCTGATGTTCTTGTAGCCAAGTCCTGGAGCAGTGAAGTGCAGAGTTGGTTGCTGCCTTCAGCGGGTGGTCAGGTCTCGGTTACTATCACACCTCTTTGGTTTTACCTTTCATGGAATCATAGAATGGTTTGGGTTGGAAGGGACCTTCAAGCTCATCCAGTCCCAACCCCCCTTGCCATCAGCAGGGACACCTTCCACTAGACCAGGTTGCTGAAAGCCTCACTTCAGTGCAGCTTAAGCACTGGCCACGGAACTGCTGGGTGTTAAATGATAGTGTTGTGCACAGCTCTTTAAAGAGTAGAAAATGAGCCCATGTGTAGCTTATGGGTTCATGTTTAGAAGTTATCCTTTGTAAACCTCTGATCAAACTTGGCTACTAATCTAGTCTGTTAAATACATCAAAAAAGGACTGCTGATGGAGGAGGAGCCTCTGTGCACAGGTACTGGCCAGGCAGGTGACTGGCATACTAATTTGTGTGCTGACAGGAATTAACGTTGCTTTGAGTGTTGCTGTTTGCAGAATGTGTCCCCCTCTTTCCCAACTTAGGGTTGTATGTTCCTGAATTCTGACTGTAGTATGACTTTTCTTATTTTGCCATCTCCATGATTTTCAAGGCTCTAAAGGGAAGATGCTGTTGAGTCTTTTCCTGATGGTATCCTCTTATCTCTCTTGGCCTGACTAAATGCCAAACAGGTGCTGTGAATAAACTCTAAATAATTTCTGGCTTTTTGTTGTTGTTGTTCAGTGTCCATCTCCGACGAGGGCCGTGCAGAAGTGAATGGATTAAAGGCATCGCATTTCTTCAGCCTGGCAGAGCGTTTGAATGTGTGTGCAGACCCATTTATCTGGCTTTTTATCCGACCTCCCTGGTCCTTGAGTGGAAGCTGTTGCAAAGCTGTGGTCTATGAGAGTCTCAAAGCAGAGTGTCAGTTGGAGAAAGTAAGATTTCTTTCTGCCCTTGACTTTAACATAGGATAATAGCTGCATCTATTTTTTTTTTAATATTTTTGTTTCCCCAAGGAGCTTCTGTGCTCCTGCTGCTTAAATGACTGGGGATCAATCATTTTAATGAATTTATTGCCAAACTACACTTGGTATATTGTGAGTGCCGGAGGCCTGTACAGTCTCTTCTGAGAGATTCAGTGCTGTCTCAAAAATAACAAAACATTGAGAAAAGCAAGAGGGAGGAATAACTAAAGGCAAAAAAAAAAAAAAAAAGTAGTCTGGAATTACTAGCATAAAATGTTATTGTTCTTTGTTTATCTTTAACAATGCTTTATCTTCATGCTTTCTTCAGGCTCAAAAAGGATCTATTCTCCACTGCTTGGCTAAGGTGTTGAGTCTCTTTGAGGTGAGCAGTGTTTCTGATTTGATGTGTTTGGGTACTTTTTTTGGTGATGCTAATGCTGTTTACCTTGATTAAAAAAAATTCCAAAACAGCCAAATGCTCTTATATTCCTCAAGTGGCCTAGGAATTTCTGCTCTCATGAGTTTAATTTGCTGGTTGTTTAAAGGAATGTTATCAACTTAGTTTATTGGATTTTACAAACAGTGAAATTGATTTTTGGCTTGGTCACGGGCTTGCAGTGTTTTCAGGTCTCAAAGGAAGCTTTGCAATCATAATGCATATTAAAAAAAGAGAGAGAGAGAGAGCCCTTCAGTGGCAAGCAAGCCAAAAAGCTTTTGTCTAGCTGAGGAAAACCACTAACTGCTTCCTGAGCCTGGATCTTCAAATGGCAGCAGAGTGGATGTGGGAGTCCCCCTCATAGTCTGAAAGGGACCTGCAACTGGTTGATCCTGCTCTCTAGCTTCTGAAGTATTGAGACCAGTTGGCTGGACAGCAAAAATACCATCATGCCTTTCGTTCTTAGGATGAAGAAAAAAGAAGAGAATCCCTTGAAATGTTTGAAGAATCTTCAAAGCAGGGTTGTTTAAACAGCTCCTACCTCCTTTGGGAAAGTAACAGAAAGGCTGCTGTAAGTAGTAGTTTGGGTTTTTTTGGTCTCAAAACAACTTTTTCACTGTAACTTCTGGACATCTGTTATGTGCCATGAACATACACAGAAAGAAGTTGCTCTCCCTCAGAGCTTACCTTCTTCATAAACAAGGAAGTGCTAAGAACTCTCAAAATGAGCTTTGGTACCTGCCTTGGTGTTTAAAGCAAGTCCGTGAGCAGTTGTAGCTGAGGTGCAAGGAGAAGCTCCTTTATACTAACTGCTAAAGACACAGGCACTGCTGCCTAGTGATCATGTGGCTCACTTGGGAATGGGAGCTGCCTTGTCATTAATAAATCTGCCAAAGCTCTCAACGTGGGAATTCTGAGGGACCTGTCTCATTTCCTGCAAGACCTCAGGCAAGAACTGAAGAAAGTTTCTTAAAAAGCAATGTTGTCCTCATGATGAGAAACAGACTGGTTTCTGAAATAATAGATGTACCCACAGGCAGTGGCTTTCCTCTGGCTATGAGTACGACAATCCTTCTGCTCACTGTGTAAAGGTAGTGGTTTTTGAAATCTGTTTACATTCCTCTCTGCAGATGTCAGATCCTGGCAGATACCTCCAAAGTCTCAGGAAGCTCCGAGACTATGCAGCAAAGGGCTGCTGGGAAGCACAGGTGAGACTGACTTTTCCCAGGACAGTGGTCTTCATTCGGTCTTTTTATGCTGTCATTGTTCATTTAGACTCTTCCCTTTCGAAGCAGGGCCAAAATTGCTGATTATTATCTATATATGCACGTGTGTATTTAGTCTACAGATCTCCCTCTTTTGGAACATACTGTATGTCTGTGGTACAATTTGAGTAAGGGTGCATCTTTTGATGGCCTTAAATCTTAACCCCAAATAATGTGTCCATTCAACATTTAAGCCAAACTGAGAACTACCAATTCTGTTACCTTTCAAGTAGTTTGTCATGTTCAGTCTCTGTTTTCAGGAGGAAAATTACAAGACTGTCCTGTGCTGCTTTAGTTTGTATTTGGTAAAAAAAACAAACAATTTCTTTTGTGTTCTCTCTACTACAGATAGCTTTAGCCAAAGTTTGTGGGAATGGAAACCAACTAGGATTAGAAGCAAAATCGTCCAGTGAAATAGTGTCTCAAATCTTTCAAGCTTCCCTTCCTATCAGCAAGCAAAGTATCTTCACTGTGCAGAAAGGAATGAATGAAACAATGAGGTAAAAACTCAGTTCCAGGGGTCAGGCCATGCAGCAGAAACCATTGCCTATGTCCCTCTACAAATGTAGAGGGAAACAAATCTAGAATGAGGTCTGTTGGAAGATGGAATCCTTTGCTTTACTCTTCCATGGTGCATTATGTACAATCAGAGAAACAGATGACACTTTGCAAAGAGGAGGTATTAGAGCCCTTATTTCGAGCCCTGATAAAGAACTGAAATGAGGGGTGCAAGGTTTTCTCTGGAATGTAAGTTCTTGCATCTGTCAAAACTAACAAGTTCTTCAAGACCTAGAGGGAGACACCATTTGACTTGTTGGAGCTGTTGTTATTCTCTAGTTATCTCCAGGTGGCCTTTAGCCTCCTAATTGATATGCTCTACCCTTTCCTTATGCAAGTGCCAATTATAGGATCGTTTCTAATTCCATTTCCCAGACAACCTAAGACCATTGACCCTTCAGAGGATAACAGGCCTCTGGCTGCAAATCCTCATCTCAGTGCAATATGTCATTTTTCTGAAACTTCTTTTGGTGACATTTCTTGGCTTGGAACTTTTGAGTGGGGAAGGGACTCGGTAACTAAGCGTGGGGAGGAGTTTGAATGGCTTCTGACTGCACAGACTGTATCTCTTTCCTGTCTAGGTACATCCTGATTGACTGGCTGGTGGAAGTGGCTACCATGAAAGACTTTTCTAGCCTATGCCTTCACATGACAGTGGGATGTGTGGATCGTTATTTGAAGCTGAGACCTGTACCTCGGGCTCGACTCCAGCTTTTGGGAATAGCCTGCATGGTCATTTGCACACGGTAGGGGTTCTGACTGGTGAGAGAGGCCATTATTGTCATCATTCAAATTCATTTCTGTTGCTCAGGCTTTTTTTCACCTCTTGCTAATAATAATGCTGGGAAGAATCTTTGGCTTCCCTCTACATTGACTGTTGCTGGAACTGTGTTCACAGACGAACACAATTTCTGCAAATGAGACACAAAATGTAATTCCTTGAACTTGTTTTTAAATATGAAAAAACTCCACAGTAGTGGATTGGTCTAAATGCATTCATTCCATCAGCAACTGAAGTCTTTCATGCTGTGTTAGCATGAGTAACCCTGCATGGAACAACTGCAGCACTGTTGTTACATAGGAGGTTTTTTTTATGCTCAGCTGAACCAAATGATGTGGTGGAAAATTATTCTTCTGTGTCAGTTTCCTTAGTATCTTGCATCTTTACCTGGGAGAGGTTTCATAAATGAGGAATCAGGAACATTCTAGGAGGTAGTTCCAGCTTAAAGGTGAAATAAATGAAGAGCTGCTGTCCTTTCTTTCCAGCTCTGTATCTGGGGAAGTACCTTATGAAGTTGTTTAACAAGTTATAAAGGTTATCTTTGTGGTTATCTTGGGTGCATTTATCTGCCACAAAACCATTAGTGCACAGGTGCACAAATTCCTTTTCTTCTGGGGCTGACTTTTAATATTATTTAATATTGCAGTTTCATCAGCAAAGAGATCCTGACAATACGGGAAGCTGTGTGGCTGACAGATAACACATACAAATATGAAGACTTGGTCAGAATGATGGGTGACATCATTTCTGCTCTAGAAGGAAAGATAAGGGTAAGTTTGCAAACTGGATGGAATATTTCACCTCTTGGGTGGCTATTGAAGTCAGGCTGTTGTAATTAACATTTCTCCTTATCTAAGATTCGGGTTTTATGTGGGTTTTTTCAATCAGCTGTGGAGACCATGCAAATTTCAGAGCATACAGATACAAAACCCTCTGCCTTTCTGGGGAGATTAAAACTTAAGTCTTAAGAGGCCATTTATTCACAGGATCATAGAATGGTGTGGGTTGGAAGGGACCTTAGAGATTATTCTTTCACCAGAGAATGTTTCAGTGTCGGTGTAGTCGTTAAAAAAAAAAAAAAAAACCCAAACAACTAAACAAACAAAAAAATAAACCTAGTGTAAAGAAAACAGCATCTCCTGGAAACAACTGTTCTAAATACCTGGTGCTTGTCTTGTATTTCCAACCTCTGTTCTCCTTTCTGCACTAGATACCTACCATTGTGGACTACAAAGAAGTATTGTCGAATGTAGTCTTGCTGGAGAGAAGAACTCTTCATCTTTACAGCTTCATTTGTGAACTGTCACTCTTAAACACCAGCCTTTGTGTGTATTCCCCAGCTCGGCTGGCTGCTGCAGCACTGTTGCTGGCTAAGATACTGCACAGACAAGGTACGGAACAGCCTCTGGGGTGGAGCTGCAGCAGGCTGGGTCAGGCTTGTCCTTTGAGAGAGGCTTATTTGTTGTTTTGGTGTTACTTTGTCTTTAAGCAAGATGTCTCAATCATTTGAGGGATATGAATCATCATTTGACAGATATGAAGTTGAGTTCAGTCTGTTTTACCTCAATAGCTACAATGAACAAGAGTATCAGCATCAGGCTATGCAAGCTTTGTGTTCAAATAAGACTGAAGATTTCTGTACTTCAGTGTAACTTCAGTTTGGCAGATAAACCTGTCCTTGAAGCTAGCTGTGAACTTGAACAAACTGTCTGCAGGCATAAGCCCGTAGGGATCATGATCTTTATCCCATTAAAAAAATTGTCTGATTACAGAACTACTGAGCTTCATGAAATGGTAATACCTGTTCTCTTCTCCAGCACACCCCTGGACCAGCCAGCTGTCTGAGTGTACCGGTTTCTCTCTTGAAGACCTGTTGCCCTGTGTGCTAAGCCTCTACCAAAAGTGGTAATAGTTTCAGAACTCTTTTTGGGCGGGCATACGAGTAGTTGGATTCCAGCTCTTGCAGACAAGTTGCATCTATACAGTTAGCCCTTCCCAATGAAGGAGGTGGCTTTGGGAAACTGCCTTGCTCCCCCTCCCACAAGGCATTAGGGCCTAGGAGCCACTTCAGGATCAGCTATTCTATTTCCCTCAAGTGGTAGTGGCCCTGGGTTACAGGAAATGTGATACTTCTCAAGGCCTAACAGGTTTCAGCTTGCCATGCATCACTATGCTCAGAAGATTGCAGCTGGCTTATTGGTGAGCTTCAGAGGGAGTTCCAGTAGCAAAAGTAGCTCATTTTGTAAAGAGTACAAAGCAAATATCTTGTTTGCCTCAAGGCACAGAAAATGATTTAGATGTTTATATGCTTAGAAACCAAGTGTCCTGGGTAATTGCATAGCAGCTCTGCTGAAACACCAACTTCCTTAGCACGGAGCTGAGATGGACAGAAGGAAAGTATTTAAATTGGCATGTTTTGTTGTCACTGTTTCATATAATCCATTCTAAGATTTGGGCTTTAATCTTTCTTCCCAGTTTCCATGACGATGTCCCAAAGGATTATAGGCAAGTGTCCTTAACTGCAGTGAAACAACGATTTGAAGATGAGCGTTATGAAGAAATAGGCAAAGAAAAGGTGGGTGAGCTCTTTGTCTTCATTTGCTGATGTCTGACACCCACAGCAAAGCTGCCATATGGCAGGATGTAGTAAACTTCAAATAATGGGAAGTGGGCTCTAACTTTAGACTTTTGGAGGAGAGTGTGTCTAAATAAAGCGGTGGCTTTACACTTGATCTGCGGGGGCTGTAATTGCTGTGGTTGAGTACACGTGGCAAGAACTCACCAGGGTAGGTTTCTCCTAGAAAATGAAGAGAAACAGCCTCCTGGCAGAGGGAATTGCATCTAATTCTTACTGGCTTTTTGTTTTGTAGATGATGAGTTACAGCCAGCTCTGTTCATTGTTGGGTGTGAAACAGGAGGACCCGGAGCCCAGTCCCTTGCACACAAATGTGGTGGAAATTCAGACTTTCCTTAGCTCTCCCTGTGGAAAGAGAACTAAAAGGCTAGTATAACTCATTGCTGGAAATGGATTAGCATGAGCCTTTCCTCCTCTCTGGTATCCTGAGGTTCTAGTCTTAAATATGATCAATTTTTGTGTGATCATCTTAATTGACATACCTCTTGAAAGAGCTGCAAAAGAAGGCTTGGCTTTTAATGCGTGACCTCTGGATTTTCTTTCTACAGGAGGAGGGAAGACAGCATTCAGGATGACAGAGGCAGCTTTGTGACTACACCCACAGCAGAGCTATCCACCCAGGAAGAGAGTCTTCTAGATAACTTCCTCGACTGGAGTTTAGATTCCTGCTCTGGTTATGAAGGTGACCAGGAAAGTGAAGGCGAGAAAGATGGAGATGGTGAGGGTTTTATTCTCTTTACAAACAGCAGATGAGAGAACTAAAACTGTCTTTTCATCTTTGTTTAAAACTGTTTCTCAGGCAACAGAAGCCTGAACTTTCAGCTGAAGACCAGTGGGAAAAACTCTCCCCCTTCCCCAGTGGTTATAATTGTTAAACTATTTGAGAGGTATCTATCCCTTGTCTCTATATACATTGCTTCAGAACGCGATGAAGGGGTTTGTAGCTGCTTTGCGTTTCAAAGTGCAACTGTTTTCAGATATCGCTGAGGGTGGAAAATGTGATGAATGGCCCACTGTGTCAGAAACACTGTATTATCTGTTTGTCTGGCTGACACTGGGACTGGCTGTTTGTTTTCTAAACAGCTCTTAGTACCTACCCAAGAGTCTGAGGGGGGAAAAGCTACTGTTTTAAATGAGTGAGCTTAGTGCCCTCCCCTCCATGTGTAAGATACGAGGTTTATGCTCTTGCTTGGTTGTTTGTTTTCTATTTCTGTGCTGAATGCCTGCTTGGTGTTGCAACCTTCTCCTTGTGTCATTCCACAGTGACGGGTCCCAGTGGGATCTTGGATGTGACAGTGGTCTATATGGATCCTGCAGACCACTGCTGTCAGGACTCCAGTGATGAAGACAACTTAGCTGTGGAGTGGGCCGGGCACGCAGCACCACTGCGGGAGGCTAAGCTGCTGGATGACAATCGCAGCCTTTCAGCATATCTCACCCCAAGAAATCCTAACCTGGAAGGGAGCTCAGGCTACTCTTCTGTCAACAGTGCCAGTCCTACATCTTCTGTAGAAGGCAGCCTTGGTGTACCTCTCAAACCTACCTCAGCAGCATCTCTTGGCAGTGCCATGAGCAAGGAGCCGTGCCTGCCTCGCTACCTGGAATCGTGTTTACAGTCAGTCTGTGCCAGGCCCAGTGATGGCAAGCGTGACAGAAGGCAAGTCAAGCGAAAAAATGTGGCAGAACACAGTGAAGAAAGGTTGAACTTGGGCTTCTTAAGCCTCTGATTTCTTCATGCTCTTTACTTTCCTAGGGTTTCTGGAAACAGTGTTTCTGTTGTAGTCTTACAGGGATTATAGGAATTTTCAATACCTCCAAAAAGAGCCCTTCCCCTCAACTTTGCCTGTGCCTTTTAACTCTGTTGCTCACTTCTGAGCCATTTGCTTTTTAAAGTATTCCCTCTTGTCTGATCCTCTGCAAACTGATTCTTTTCCACCTATGAAACTTTATAGCTCATTTTTGTCCTATTTCACCAGTTACTCCTTGGTGATAGAAAAGAACTTGTCGTGTCCCTTGCCTCACTGTGAGGCCTGGCACTATAAAAGAAAGGAATTGACTTTGGTTCTCAAGTTACTGGAAGTAACACTATGCTTGAATTCTTCCACTTGAAAGACATTTTTTGAGGTTGTGCTGCCTTTTCCTTCTGGCTAGGAACTGTCTCACTCAGCTGGTGCTTCCCTCTTCTATGTGTATATCATTTGCTGCACTGATACAAGGCTTTTAAGGATACAGCCAAGAGGTAAATGAAGGCTCTCTGCAGGTCTGAGCTTCTTTTTTACCTACCTCTCAGATGGTTTTAAACCTCATTTGCCTCAGGCTCTAGTTGCCATGTGTTTCCCTTGCCTGAAAAATCCTCCTCTTGTGCCTTAACGCTTCACTGCCCAGTCCTACAGCAATGTGATCTCTGTGAACTGTTGGTCTCTGCTGGCCCACTGTGGCTGAACTGCCACCTCCAGCCCATGGCTCCATTTCATTTCCTGTCTCGCACAGTCTTCCTTGCTATTTCCATGAGCATCTCCTCACGTACAGCACGTATCACTTGAACACTAGAACCAGGCAGCAACGCAGTGGGGGGGGGCAGTTTGTTGTACTGAAAGCCCTAACCTAAGCCTTGCTCCTGGCTCCTACTCTGCAAGGGCAGCATATGCTTTTCTTATCAAAAATGAAATCTGTGCTGCTTCAGTAACATTTTTGAGGAAACCACCTCCACTGACCTCAGCCAAGCGAGCCTGGGTTAAAGCTCGCAGCCTGTGAATAGGAAAGCAGCCTTCTCTTTACAAACAGAGAATTGAGCCGTGAAATACCAAGGTACAAGACTTCTGGGAGACGTCACTGAATTTAACACTGGAACTGGACTCCATGACTCTTCCTTTGTTTAGAAGTTACTGTGGCAGATGGCAGCAGTTCAGATACAGTGTAGTGACTTTTTTATAAAACTTTTTTTAATATAGATGGCTCCCTGTCTTACTTCTATGACTGACCTATTTCACTGACCTGGGGCACTGATGGGATGTCTGGGGATCAAGTCAGAGTTTAGCTCTGAGCCAAGTTCTTATGATTTAAGTCATGTTTACAGCAGTAGCATGAGCAGCCAGTAGCATGGGGCTCAAACGACCACCCCAACTCTACAGCAGGCCCAGAAAGAGAGCGTCCAGAAAGGCCTTGAACGTGTCAAATAACCACCAGAGAACAGCCTTGGGTGCTTTTCTACGAAGTTTATTACAAAACTATGTACTGCCACTAGTTAAGAGAAAAAAAAATGTCCCTGATTTAGTTTTTCTGTGCCAGGCTTCCCCCTTCTCCCCAGGGCTGCACTGCAGTTCTCCAGCTACTGCGTGCAATGACTCGCCAGGCAGGAGTGCCTTCACATTAACTTCACAGTCACAGCACTGGCTCAAAGTTCAGTATTAGGTCACATTAAAATTGGAAGAAAACACTTATAAAAACCCCTCTCAGTTCTAAAACATGTAGATAAAAGTTAAATATCTGTGGGAAAGGCCTCACACTGCAGAAAGCTTTGAACTCTTTTCCTATACAAGTTTTCTTGATCTGAAAGAAAAAGGACAAAATAGGAATGTGAATCAGTTAAATTCCTTCCCAGGAAGAATAAATTAGGTGATGAGGAGCTAGGTCCATGATCCTGGGACTTGCTGCTTAATCCAGTGGCCTTGGCTGATGCAGCCCTGAACGGTCTCTGTGTGAAGCCTCCATCATGGAGGTGCCCCATGGATGAAGCAGGACACTTGGGCCTAGAGAGCAACCACTTACTGCCACAGGCCTGAGGCAATAAAACCAGAGCTAGAAGATGCTTTCTGAAAAGCAAGAGACACAGCCCAGAGCCTTGGTTCTTTAAAAAAAAAAAAAAAAACAAAACAAACAGATCTCATCAGTCTGCATGTTGTTAGCAACTCCACACCCCTGCAGACAGTTCAGCCTTTGCTTTATTAACCCCTGTTGTATTCCTCCAAGGACAAGTATTTCTAGAAAAAAAATGAGGAAACTTGCTGTGACACAGGCTAAGCCTGGCTTTGTGCACCACTGGCCTGGTCTCTTAACAGGGAAAGCAGAACGGCCAATGCTCCCTCCATGGCAGGAGGAACCCCGAGGTCTCACCAGGAGAGATTTTACAGACCACCCTGCTCTGTCCCCACCTCCCGACTGCTGCCTGCAGCACCCCAGGGCCCATGGAGCAGGGGGGCACTTACTTAGGGCACCATTTTGATATCCACAGAGTCATAAGCTGAAGTTTTCATCTTTTTCAGTGGCTGCTTGAAGAGCTGCCGCAGGGCCTCATAGTCAGGCTTCTCCTCGTACTCTAGTGCCATTACTTGCTGCAGGTAGCTCTGCAGAGCATCTGCTAAGCAAAGAACATCACAGCATGGAGCAGCACAGCAACTCCTGTTGTCTTTACAGAGCTGCCAAATGGCCACCTCAGACTGCTCTCCCTGCAGGCAGCTCACACACCTGCCCTGGGCAGCTGCCCCGAGGGAAAACCAAACCAAACACTAGTGAGAAGCTCAAAGGCAGGATGGGGAAATGACCTCTAGCCCCAGATACTGCATTTTTAAAGCCACCAGAAAACTTGGCCTCTTCAGCAAGGCTCGTGAATACAGAAAACAGGTAGCAGCCCTCCTTGTTTTGCTGTGAAGAAAACAAGGTGTTTGTTCACAGTCCGTGCAATGCCTGGTCAGCATCACCAGCTGAAGCCATCCTGGACTAGCAGCTCAGCACAGAGAAGGTTCTAGCCTGAGGTACAGCCAATCCTCCTTCCCCAAGCCCCACTGTCCCAGAGAGCAAGCCCATACCTGGAATAGATCTCTGCCTGAAGCACAGTTGGAGAAGGCATTTCACATCCCCTTTGTACCTGGAATAACCAGTGCAAAGTGCTGTCAGATGAGAAGCAATGGAGCAGGCACCTCAACAGCCTGTCTTTGGCAATGGGGACAAAAAATAAAAAAGGCTGAACTCAGATGGCCCCGTTCTGAATGGAGCAGAAATCAGGGCTCATCAAACACCCTTTGGCCAGGCTCAGCCTTTGCAGAGGGATTTACCCACATCCCAACAGTGCACTGTGCCTGAGTGAAAACCTCCCTCACTGCTTTCTGCTGAGCATTTCCCAAGAGAGTAGATGATTTCTCCTACTTTTCCTTCTTCTCCATCACAGTTTCTACTTTGTCCAGCTCATCAGACCAAGGCAAGAAGCCACAGAGCCATTTCAGAAGACAGTAGCCCAGAGATTCCAAGTCACTCCGGCGAGATGGTCCTGATGGGAAGAAAAGAAATATTCATGTGTGGAAAACCATCCCAGAAGAGGCCCAGGCTAGCACGTCTCCTCCAAAGGCAAGTAAGGACTCCAGCACTCACTGCTCAGCCTGGCAAGTCTCTCTTTGAGGTGCCCCTTCTCTAAATCAGGCAGCCTCATGAAGGGGCACAAGTCTAAAGAGCAGAAGTAAAGAAATGCAAGAGCTTCATTAAGATGTGCTCCAGGATATCGAGACCTGGGAACCTGCTAACTCTCGCAGTTGAGGAATCACCCCACAGCCTCTGGAGGAAGATCTGCCCAGTCTTAACACTGGGCAAGAACAGTCACATCCCAACCAGGAGAGGAACTGGCTCATTTAAATGCCTTTCCAGCTCTCACTGCTTCAAGGTCAGAGCAGAGCCTGCTGCAAATCTGTTTCGGGCAGTGATCCAGTCTGGCTTGGAACAGATCCCTGCTCAGCCAGCACAAAGCAGCCCTGTTGTCTATTCCTCGCACGCCCGCAGCAGCCAAGGCTCCAGATGGAGGAGGAACATCCCTGCACCTCTTGCTGCAGATGCTGAGTGACCTGGCAAGTCCCAACACAGCAGCCCAGAGAGAGGCAAGAGGAAACAGCCCGAATAGGAACTTGGTTCCAGGTGCATGCGAATGCCTGGAAAGCAGCAGTAACAGAAATGCCAGCAGGGAGTCCGAGCTGCAGAGAGCACTGCCACAGCAACAGCTCCAGCTGAGCTTTGCTGGCTTCTGGCAGAAACTGAGACTCACCTGCTCCCTTGTGACTGTCCAGACTGATAAACTCTATCGTGCCTTCGTGAGGGGTCCTGCTGCCTTCACGCTGAGCCACGTGCTTTCCTCCTGGGCAGTAACGGAACGCAAAGCAATAGCCTGCGAGAGTCACCTAGAAGACATGAAGAAGCACAGATCTGAGCATTACTGCCTGGGGCCAAGTCCACAGGCTGCACTTTTATTCTGCCTCCTCCAGTCAGAAGCCTGAAACTCCCCTCCAGGGAAAGGCACTGCTCCTTATGGCAGATTCCAGGAGACATCTGAGGCACCATCACCACTCCTTCAGGTGGGACGTCTCCTTACAGCATAGCCCACAACCCTGCGCCACAGCACCTGCACGGCCTGCCCTGCTCCCCTGGCCAGCAGCAGGAACCTGGGTGTTGCTCAATCCCATTTCACAAGCCAACCTTCACTGCCGTTTCCTCGCAGCGCTGCTCCCGCTCCCTACCTGCGTGAGGTCTGCTGGGTTCAAATAGATGTTCTCAGCCGTGATGTCCCCATGCACATACTCGTTTTCATGAATGTACTCCAGGCAGTCTAGCTAGGAGTAAACAGAAGAGGCAAGCACATCAGAACCAGGCAGACTCCTTCAGTACCCAGGCTGTCACTGAGCTGGACCCTCCCCAGCTCCCCACAGCTGTGTGGGGGAACACAAAAAGCACCATGTCTGACAGCCTCTGATTTTCAAGAGCCAGGTCTCTCTCATTCTCCTGACCCTAAATTCCTTCAAGGTGACATAATGCTCAAAAGATGCTACTCAAGTTTACAACAGGCTCAAGAGATGCCACTTAGAGACCACAGCCAACCTCCTAGATCAGCTTTGAAACACTTTTGAAAGATCCAGAACAAAGTTATAGGTCTTTTCTGAAAAAGTCTCTTAGAATGTATTGGTTCTTTACATACCAGCCGGACTACGATCTGAAAAGCTGCCTTCTCCCTCAGGAGGTGTAAGCCATCATTCAGGACCGACTGAAGAGTTCGCCCCAAGTCAGAGAACACCAAAAACCTGCGAGAGACAAGGGCTGAGCACTTAGCAGTACTAACCTGATTTGGAAACCCTGCAACAGACACTCAAGTGTTCCACCTGCATTAGACTCCCCTTCAACTCCAAGTTGACCTGGGCAAATATCTCCTCAACTTTTGATAACAGAAAATTCATTGAAAAGAAGAGACATGCTGATCATGTGTTGCAGATGTACAGCCCTTTATGTTAATATTAAAGGCAGGAATTATTGTTAATATTAAAGGCAGGAATAGGGTGTCCCCGGCTTGAGGGGCAGAAGCAGCAAAAGCAATGACTCACCAGCAATGCAAGGACTGAAGGAAACAGGATAATAAGAGAGGCAAACTATTTATTAATAAATGAGATAGGAGCAGTGCATAAGGTTAGGAGTCCAGGGGACAATGAGAAAGGAGTAGCAGACAGCAAGAAGAGGAAAAGCCCAAGAAGATGGTAGTTGTGGCCATAAATGCTCAGCTGTGCCCTTCAGGGAGCGAGCTCACCTGTAGCTATCTGCATGCAGTCCAAAGCCAACGCAGTCAGGGATTCCCAGCAACGGCACAGAGTGCCCCTTCTTCCACTTCTCCACTAGAAGGGGAGAGAAGAGGACAGAGTGCAGCAGATGCTGCTAAGGAGCTCCAGAAGGAAGGAGCTCAGTCAGGAATG